CATTTCACACTGCATCCAACCCCTTTGGCTCCTCCTACGGGTGGTGAGTCTGTTGGAAGGGGGACCCACGTCTCCTCTTTGGGCTGAGCCCGGCCGGGCTCCGTGGGTGAAAGCCCGGCCACCAGGTGTTCTCCATCGTGCCCCACCTCCAGGCCTGGCTCCAGAGGGGGGCCCCGGTGACCCGCGTCTGGGCGAGGGAACGCCAGATCCAAAATTGTTGTGCATCATAAGGGGTCTTCGGCTTCGGCTTCGTGAACAAATGCTGCTAAAATTATTGAAAATATTTTCCTCGATAGAGAAAGTCCCAATAAAAAAAACAATTTATGCTTTGCAATGGTTTTACAATGGTTACAACTAGGCATGGGACGGTATGAAATTATGATGGTATGATAACCTTGGGCAAAAATATCACGGGTTCGCGGTATGGCGGTATTATGATTACAGCTCTAAAAGTTTTGAAATTTGTATTTCAAAACAAAAAAAAATGAAAACTTTTCTATTATCATATTGAACTTTAATTATCTTTGGAAACTGTTTTAGATCTCAGATGTGTTATGCTGAAATTTTATTTACCTGCGTGCATTTATACTTGTGATTTTTAGCACCTAATGCTAGGTTATCCGGATAAAGTTTAACTGCTTTTCTACTGCTTTTTTAGTTAAGACAAATCAGTGTATACTGCATGACAAGTCTTTTTATTGAAGTAATGTGTCACTTTGGTTGTTTTTATTGTGTTTTAAATATCAAAGGAGTTTTTGACGTAAAATTATATAATTATATGCACACAGAAACAAGAAATATCAACTATGAATGCATGTTTATGAAATGCACGTTCAGCTAAAGACCTGCTCGGCTAAAGGAGGCATTCAGTTTTATCGCCTTTCACTTAAAACTTATCAAATATACAATCCAACAAGTCAAACAGTTTTGCAGACAAGCTGTGACCGGTGCATTAAGTCGCAGCTACACGGTGATGTGTTTCACAATCTGTAGGGATGTTGACATTTTGTCAGCAGCTGCTGCCATTTTCTTCCCAAACTGCTGTGACCAGATTTTGTAAGGCTGCTTGGTGCGTTTGTTTGTAATTTCCTCCTGCTTCGTTATTTTTACGAATTTCAACAAACCGTGCTGATGTCAGGTAGTTGGCTACAGCCTCGTCTTCAAGTTTTTAATTTTTCTTGATGCGTTTTGAAGAGGCAATTTTTTGAAGAGGATCAAGGTAAATCACCCGAGTTTTTCTAGTGAGCCCTTGTCTAGTGACAAGCTGCCATGAGGAACATTATTTTATCTACCTTTGTTCCAAATTTGATAATGATTTGAAACGTCGAAGTATGTTTTTTTAATCTGTAATAGCTCTTGTTAGTAAAGTGTTTTGAAGCTCGTCTTCGTCACTTCACGCATTTAACGCGCTGTCATTGGTTGAGGAGCTTTGTTTACAAAACAGATGTCCAAATGGTTTTTAAATTGTTTTAATTTCCTTACTTTCTAAGACACATTAAGTTGATTTGATGCTACAGTTTGCCTTTTAATGTTATTTTATACCTTTTCTGCTACTTTTGAATTGGCTATTATTAATTTTTATTAGTTTTTTTAGGATACAAGATGCTTCCTACAAAAACCAGAATGTGAATCTTTTCCTAAAATTTCATGGCGATATCTTGGAACACTGAGGAAGTTATGAGAAAAAATAAAAAAACTCAAGGTGAAATGGTCACAAAGGCCCCATTGGTTCTGCTGTGACCTGCAACAAGAAAACATGAGCTGATTTCACCTAAACATCAATAATTCCCTCATACATCATCATCACATGATTTTTGTGTTATTTTGTATGGTTTGAAATGTTCTTTTGGAATTCGCTGTCAGATTTAATATTGGTGTAGGATTAAAAATTTATTCACATCCCTACAATCTGATGCTAACGTTAGCTCGTTCATTTCAAGATAGCATAAATTTTACCTGGAGCTGCGATCATGTTAGATGCGTTGCCTTCACGGTCCTCATTGCTGTCATCTTTACGGCATCCAAAGTATTTTCATATAGCTGGCTTTATTATTTTAGACAGGGGAAAAGTTTGGGGAACTCTGATCTTCAGCCACCACACAACCCCAGCAGAGCTGCGAGTGCTGACAGGCAGCTCTGCGAGAGTGTGCAGGGGAGGGGTCGCAGAGGAAATCTGCATCGGCACAGACCAGAGGAAAAATAAACAAAAAACGCTTATACCGTAGGCACTGTATGACAGAAAATTTTAGTGGGTTTGAAACCGTGACTTTTTCATATCCCGGTATACCTTGAATATTCAAGGTATTAAACTGTATGCGGCCCATGCCTAGTTGCAACATGTGAAAACTGTTCAGATTTTTATACATTTTGTTCAATTGTGTAGATTTTTTCCATGGAAACCTTTTTCTAAGCATCTTGTATTTTTCAGAAACCTGTGTGGAGTTTGACAAACGGCTGGATTATTTTAACAAAACCTTTGTGGAAAATGCAACATCGCCCGTGAGAGAGTTTTGGGAGTGAGTATAATCCAGACCATTGAACTTTTGAAAGTGAGAGTGTGAAAGTATCTAATGGAACTGTAAATTTCAGGAGAAGAGTACTGAATATCACAGGGAGTATCGGGGAGATGGGAAATATTCGATGGGATTTGACTCTGTGTCTTCTGCTGTCCTGGATCATCTGTTACTTTTGTGTTTGGAAAGGAGTGAAGTCGACTGGGAAGGTAGAAGCATTTATACCTAGTATTTTACATTTAACTCTGTAGCAGCAGCTGAATTCCACTCTGAGAACGTGTTTGTCCAGACTTCCTGGTTGAGCGGAGCTCATTCTGACTCACAAATTATCAACTCTGAGTCCGGTTTYTTKTTTTTTTTTTTTTTTTTTTTTATTCTTGTATCTTGTGATTGCAGAAAGGTGTGCCCCAAAACAGCAAAATAAAATAAAATACTCAAAAAATGCTCCCTAAACCTGACTTTAGGTAATAATTTAATATCTTCATTTTGCCCCATCCTGGTGCTTTTTGACAGCTTTAAGAATGTTTGGCCGAGGTTCATACACACTTAGCAAACAAAGCACTAAAATTCCACAGAGATTTGAGCTGATAAGCTGTTCTGCTTTAAATCAACATAAAGCAAAGCTTAAAGACCTTCCCTGCAGGTGGTATGCGCCGTCCCAAACCTCTCAAAGCAGYGATTAATCCACTTGCTATGCTGTTACTACAAATTAGAGTTGTTTAATAAGTTAAGATAAAGAATAGATCTACCCCACCACCTTTGACCATCTCATTGCACTTTGTGTTTATTGTTATTTAATAAATGTCAACGTGCTAAGCTGCCAGGCTAATGTGGTGAATGTGAGAAGTAGCATTATAAGCGCTAGATTCAAACATGCAAGGTAAATAATGAAGTATTTGTGCTTTCAAAAAAGTGACGAGACATCAGGACCTGTTCAGATAGAGAGTTTGTCTTGCTCTGCCACCTCGCCAGCCCTTTCTCTACCTTTTCCAATAAAAATCTGTGTGCTAACTGTTTTCTCTCTGGCCAGTCCACGGGTCGGGCTCCTGTTTCCTTGGCTTTAGCTGTTGCACCTGTTCCTCGTGTTCTCATTAAGRAACCACTTTATAAGACCAGCCTTAACCTTCACACCCTGCCAGGCTGTTGAGGCCTCAGCCGAAGAGTGCTGATGTACGAACCTCCGTCATGAAACGCTCAAGTTGCTTGTCTTACCCCCTAAGGTTGCTCCCATCATGCCAGAACCTCCAGCCATGTCAGCTGACCTGCAGTTCTCCACCTCTTCCTTCCTCCTGCTCCTCAAACATCATCAAGTCATTAACGTTAGGAGAATGGTGGCACTGGTTGGGGTTGGCCAAACAATCTTTTATTGTATTGAACTTACCATCAGCCTGCAAAATAACCAAATGTCAAGCAGGCTTCCTTGTTCATGTTCTTTGGAAGATTTAACTTTACTTTTGGTTTCTATGCTCAAACTGGGCAGACTGAACAGGCTAATCGAGAACTCCAAGCAGCTTTTATTTTTGGAAGGATTCCTTGGATGCACACCAAATCACAAATTCTGGTGTTTTCCCAGAAACATTACGTTGAAATGTATTTCCAAAACCCCTTTTTTCCTGAGTCCAGCCTACACACAGGCAGTGTGAGGAAGCCTCTAAATGGAGTTCTTAAATTTCTTCCTTTCCCATCTTCAGTTTACTCCACTTGTGCCAAAACTTCCAACCATGCCAGTTTATCTGCAACTTCTCAAGTTGCTCACCAGCCTGCTCAGATTTCTAGATGATGATACTCTCCCCCCACTCCTGTAAAAAGAGATAAACTATCTGGGTTATTTTCGACACAGAACTCCAGTACTTTTTGTACTTAATAGTTGTTTACCTCCCGTCTCCTCCTGTACAGACTCCTAATGTCATCCCAGCATGTCTAGTTGCAACAGTTATCTCATAACAGTTCAAAGAGTAACTTACCCCAAAAATTAACTTTTTTAGCTGATAAACTGTCTAGAATGTGTCTAAAATGTTATATAGAATTGTTTTTGTGCTAATTTTGATGTTTTTGTACATCTTTGTTCAAATCTGTCATATTTGGTCAGCTGTTCGTCTCTGTGGTCAGCACTTTTGAGTCCAACAAAAACAATAATAATGAGAAAAGACATAAAATTATTAGTGCAGTTGTACTTTAAAAATCAAACTTCTCCACTGTTTTTCTGACAGGTCGTTTACTTTACTGCAACTTTTCCATACGTGATGCTCGCTGTGCTGCTTGTTCGTGGACTGACGTTGCCTGGAGCTATAGATGGGATCCAGTTTTACCTTTACCCTGATCCATCCCGCCTTACTGATCCACAGGTGAAAACATACCTCATAGTCTCTTTAACGTGTCTCATTAACACAGTTGTGGCAAATTAATCATCAAAATAATCATGTAAGATTCATATTGCCAAGATTACTCACTGTAGTTTGGAGAAACAGAGTTTGATGCTGATTGACTGACTGATGAGCTCGTGACCCGTCCAAGGAGGGGCAGGAACAAGGTGCACTGCTGTGCCATTTTTTAAACTTTTACATTGGTATTTACCTAAAATTAACACAGCATGTGAAAATAGTGGCAAAACATATAGCCCAAGCACAAAAATATTTTTACAAAGGCAGTGCTCTGCATTATCTTGGATTTCTATAAGGTTATCTGCAACAGATAAGATTTTACCGTAGTTATGATCTTTCTACAGAACCACACTTCATAAAAACTGAATTAGCCCTTTAAATAAAGATCTGGAACAGGACTGATCACAAAACATTTGGTAAAAATAGCATTATATTTACATAGAACTATATTAATGGAAAAAAGTGGAAAAATGGGAAATAGAGAAGAAACGTGAAAAAATAATAACCAGTAATTTTTAAGTTTTCCTGTTTTTTTTTTTTTAATTGATGTGCAGTATTATCAGATAATTGCTTTGCTCGTGTTACATATGCAGAAAGTAATGTAAAACAACACAGTTCTTTATATGTTTATGTGTCTGATTTTATACCTTACCCATGTTGATCTTGCAGGTGTGGATGGATGCCGGCACACAAATATTTTATTCCTATGCCATTTGCATCGGTTGCCTAATAGCACTGGGCAGCTACAATAAGTACAACAATAACTGCTACAAGTAAGTTTTGCGCAACACCTGCAATCTGGGTTTTACAAATGAACAAAAAAAAACTGAATTAAAAGAATTAAACACAAATAAAGTGTTCTGTGATATATGAAACAGAATTTAAAAATGTACTTAAAAGCAAATGTGAGAACAATTTGAACCTGAATTCAGAACCTGAATAGATTGTGTTCTTTGTGTACACAGGGATTGTGTATATTTGTGCCTTCTGAACAGTGGAACCAGTTTTGTTGCTGGTTTTGCGATCTTCTCTGTCCTGGGTTTCATGGCCTACGAGCAGAACATGGACATATCYAAAGTGGCCGAATCAGGTAGCAACAAAACTGTTTCAGAGAACGAAAACTGTAATTTTTAAACACTATAAATGCTGAATGATGCTAAATGTATTATTTATTAATCAAACTCTCTGCAGGACCTGGCTTGGCGTTCATCGCTTATCCTCGAGCAGTCGCCATGATGCCTTTCCCTCAGCTCTGGGCGGTCTTCTTCTTCATTATGATCATCCTCCTGGGATTAGACAGTGAGGTAAACTGTTCAGCTGTCATGTAGCTACAATGAATGGAAAGTGAATCAGTTATTTATTTATTTTTTACTGAATTCATTTTTAAACAGTTATTCTTTTACATTAGTTAAAATAATTAAACCTTTACTGACCATACATTATGCAACTAAAAATGTTTGTTGTGGTTTTCAGTTTGTAGGTCTGGAAGCTTTCGTAACAGGAATTTCTGACTTGTATCCTGCCTTCTTCCACGTCGGTCATCGGCGTAAACTTCTTCTTCTGTTCGTCTGTGTTCTGAGTTTCTTCATAGGTCTTGTTATGATGACAGAGGTAAGATCCATTGTTCTAAAATGCACATTTTTCTGTGACACAACTGTAAGATGTCTAAGCTGCTGCCCCCCTATGTAGGGTGGGCTGTACATCTTTCAGGTGTTTGACTACTACTGCTGCAGTGGGATGACTTTGCTCCTCTTTGCCATTCTGCAGTCTGTGTGTATTGGATGGGTGTATGGTGAGTTCATTAAGAGGAATATATCTTTGCAATGAATCAGTTTTTTTTATCTGTATTTTCATCTATTCACAGGAGCTGAACGGTTTTATAACAACATAGAGGACATGATTGGATACAGGCCGATATCTGCTATTAAGTACTGTTTAAAATATGTAACTCCAGTGATTTGCATGGTGAGTTGTTTCAGCAAAAGATCTGTTAAACTGTTTCAACTTTAGAGTGAATGAAGCAGTATGTAAATGTTGTACAGAAGAAATTCAGTCTTCAGCCATAATTTAGATTTGCTGCGAGGTCTGTGATGAATATGTAAATGTCATGTTATTTGTTGTTAAGTGCTGTTTTCAGTYAATTCAATTAGAAAATAAAGGCAGTGTGGTGCTGAAATTTGCAGAAGAATCTGAAATCTAGCATAACAATGCAGAAGACTGGCTAAAAGCTAAAAGAGGTTAAATGAATGTAGCAAAATGCCTACTGTAAACTAAAAGTAGCAAAATGCTATCTAAAAGCTAAAGGCAACAAAAGAATAGCTAAAACCTAAATGTGTCAAAGGGCTACATGAAAGCTAAAAGTAAAGTAAAAAGCTAAAAGTAGCAAAGTAAAGCTAAAAGTAGCAAAAGCCTAGCTAAAAGCTAAAATTAGCAGAAGACAGCTAAAAGTAGCAACAATGGGCCTCATGCAAGAACATGTTCGTATTCTTATCCTAAATTTCTCTTACCTTTGTTCGTATGAAGGGTTCGTACGAACATGTCACGTCAGATTCAACAAACTCTTCTATCTTCAGGAAAAGTGTGTAAATGAGCTGCGTAAATTCCACCTGTTCGTATCCAGCTGCTCGTGCACGTGGGAGGAGATTAGCATAATTACCACCCCAAAAACACCATATAAGGCTGTGTTTCCTGCCTCCGATACAAGTGTTCATTCATGAAAAATGACAGCGAAAACTAAAAAAATAAAAACTTTACGAGTTCAGAGATTGAAGTCCGTCTGTCAGAGATCCAGAAAAGAAAATCTGTCATTTTTAGCAGGTCAGCTGTGGAATAAAAAGAGCTGCTAAAAGTATAAACAACTGTGTTAAATCATTTTCATTTATTCAGAAGCCGCAGCGCTGCGCACCGTCCCCCCCGTCTGGATAACAGCAGACTGACTGCTCGTAAAATATACGACAGGTCTGGACCACTCGTGAATTTTGTTCGTATCTGAAAAAAATCTTAGCATACGAAAACATTGGTGAATGCCACAAATTCTCCTAAATCACTCGTACGCACAACTTAAGAACAAATCTGTGCATACGAACGGTTCTTGCATGAGGCCCAATAAAACTAAAAGTAGCAAAATGCTATCTAAAAACCAAAAGCAACAAAAGACTAGCTAAAATCTAAATGTGTCAAAGGGCTAAATGACAGCTAAATGTAGTAACATGCTAACTAAAAATAGCAAAATGCTATCTAAAAACCAAAAGCAACAAAAGACTAGCTAAAATCTAAATGTGTCAAAGGGCTAAATGACAGCTAAATGTAGTAACATGCTAACTAAAAATAGCAAAATGCTATCTAAAAGCTAAAACAATTAGCTAAAACCTGTATGTATCGAAGGGCTACATGAAAGTTAAAAGCAGCAAAAACCTAGCTAAAAGCTAAAATTAGCAGAAGACAAAAATTAAGCAGATTTCAAGGAGAACGTTTTGAAATGACTGAAGTGATAGCAATTAGTTTGAATGGGAAAGTATTTCTCAATAATTTTAAATTATAAGGTAACATAAAAAAGGTCAGCACGCATCATGAGCTCAAAAATTTGGAATACAGTATGAATGCCTAAAATAGTAGACCTACATGCACAAACCTCAACAAACAAACAAAAACAAAACATAGGACATTCGTTATTAATGCTTTTATTTATTATTATTAAATTAAGTATTAAAGTAGAATTGATGCGTTGAAAAAAGTTTCACCTGATTGTTTCCAGGGAACATTTATTTTCTCCTTGGTGAAGTATTCTCCTCTGAAGTTCAACAACACCGTTGAGTATCCATGGTGGGGTTACGCTCTTGGCTGGGTCCTCACCCTCTCCTCAACCCTCATGGTTCCCCTCCGGATGCTGTACAATCTGTGCACCACTCCTGGAACGCTGCAGCAGGTAACACACATCCACTTCTCACCGGCACAGATCGGCAAGCTTTGTTCTGAATCACCTTAAACCTTTTCGTTTTTGTTGCAGAGACTCTCAATCTTGTGCACTCCATCCGAAGACCTCCCTCTGACCAAACCAGAAAAGAAAGCTCTTGAACTTGTAGGGGGAAATTGTTAATTATTGAAAAGTAGCTAAATCCTAAGTTTCTCGTAACTCATTAGCAAGAAAGCGGGGCACCACCTGTAAATAACAGGAAATTAATCTCGTAATTTTACTCAATCTCACGTACTGAAGAGCAGAATTCTTTTCAGTTTAGACKGCAAACCGAATAAAGAAATGCACACACGAGCATGGAAATTTCACAATATACCCTGTATAAGTGATTCAGAGGTAACAATACAGACGGATTATTTGGGGCAAACAGAAACACCATTATTATCACGACCTTGTTGTTTAATAATAACGTGACATCATCACCCTATAATCACCTCTAGCATTATTCAAACTGAACCACTTCTAACTATTTCTACACTAGCAAAATAAATGAAAGCTTAAAGCACAACTAAGTAATTGTTATAAAGGTGAACTATAAAGGGACCAAGTTATGTGGGAAGAACACGACTTGCGTTAATTGTCAATTGATTTTTATTCATAGTAGAGAGCACACACACGCAAGCTGCCATGGAGTTCAGCGTGSCTTACCGGAGCAGTCTTCAGACCTCTTGGGTACCTTGTAACGGTTTTAGGTCAACAGCCTTGTCTTACCTCCGGTTGACTGTTCACCCTGGACTGGCAGACAAAGTCCCGTTTAGATAATCTGGTGCTCCCATAGGGTGGCAAACCTTTCAGCTCACGCGACAGTCGACACACTTCACAGCTCGGCTGGGTCCTGACTTTATGAATAAATGTCAATTAAGAATCCTACGCAACTTTGTGTCCTCCCAATAACTCCGTCAAAAGTACAAAAAGAAAAATAAAGAAACAAATAAAAAAAATAAAATAAAATGTCCCCAAAGGGGAAAAATGGAGCTCGGACTCCAGTCCTCTCTTGCTGCTTCTCCTTTCAACTCTTCTTCCAAAACTGAAACTAGCACACAGTTACAGTATCTATTGTCCTGACTGTACAAAACTCCGGATTGGCTGAAAACAGTCACATGATCTAATTTTTTTATGTTCTTTACTGCTAAATTGGTTAAACACACAGAATGATAGATTACCTGTGAAGTAATTAAAACAGGGCATTATTACAATGATTGAATCATAATAGAAAAATACAATGTTTCTGTTTTTTTAAATCAGATGACAAACAACAGAAAGRCATTTGTTCATGATGTAATTATGAGACCAGCCTTTTGGGGGTGCTCTAAAACCATAAATGAGGTGGTATGCAAACATGTCTTTTTGAAGCTTCCTTGGGTGACAATATCTCAGCAGGAGATCTGGTCTCAAAAGGGGTTATAGATAGCAAAGCCACTTTGGGGAGACTTTAATTCTGGCAAATAGGTGAGTCCTTTGTGATAAACGGCCATTTTGAGTATTTGAAAGAGATCTTTACACAGTGCTTAATCAATTGGAGGTTGCCATGTCCTGTTTATTTTACCACCTGCAGATAGTAAACAAAAAGGGTTTGGAGATAATGAAAGAAGTCATTGTTCTCTGTAGGCATGGGGATGAGTAATTTGTTGACTCAAGTTCTGAGGTGGGACTGTTCTTTAGGTTACTGCTACAAACTTCACCCTTCCTCCATATCATGATGTGAACAAGTGAATCCTTGTTGAGGAATAATGGTGAGAAACAATCCTCCATCTGGGAGATCTGCTGCACCGCATCTCTCTGACTCTTAAAAACCTTAAAGTTCCTGAGTCTCTGCTCACCAGCTGATAAACAAGTGGATCAATTGGACTGATTTGAATAGTTTTGTACTTTGAAAGCTTGAATGTGTTCAAATATTTGTTAAAAATAAGATGTTTTAACTACCGTATTTATTCAAGTATAATACATAAAATTAAATCCATAAAATCATCCATAAAGATTGGGGGATAGTATTATACTCGGATAAATGTTTTTTATTTATGTATTTTAACTGAAATATCGGCTTCATTCACAAAATGCCTGAGTCCGGAAATGAGGCCATGGCATAAAAAGAAGTTGAAGCAAGCTTACCTTTGACACTCCTTCGTGCCTCAGAGCGAGATAGTAACAGATCCAGGCAGGCGACATGATGTGGAAAAAAAAGGGGGGAGCAGTCCTGCACCTTAGTAATGATAACGAACTAATGATATTAGCGTGTGACCGAGCCGCTCATCGAACAACAACAAACACGTGTTCGTCTGTAATGACTGCCGTCTATCGGTGTTCTGAAAAAGTTTGTATCCCTGAAAAACGTTTCCCCACCAGAGGGGGCGCTCGCGAGTAGGAAGTAATCTGCTTTTCCCCCACAAGATGGTCCAAATCTCATGTGAAGTCTCTGACTTTTGTGTTGGTGCATCCTGGTGGACTATGTGTAAAATGCCAGAATTCATATGATGCTGCTACAGCTGATATATATTTGTTGTCAAAATACCTTTAAGTACATATGTTGTTAAAATAAAATGAACAGTCCAATGATCATTTTACTGATATGTATAAAGACTGCAAAGGCTGAAAAATCTTGAAGTCTGTATGAAATTGGACGCAGTTTGAGGATTAAATTTTTTGTGCTTTTTAAGCTCAAAAAGCGGGGGGGTCGTATTATACATGAGATCGTATTATACATGAATAAATATGGTACTTTATTTTTCATGTTAATAGTTTTATGGACTGGTTAGGAAACAATGCACTTCACCTTTTTTGCCTTATTGAGCACTGCAAAACATTATTTTAAACATTAAATTAAATTAAGATGAAAAACATTTTATTTATGGCTTCAGTATTTTAAAAAATCAGATTCTAAATACCTTTATGCTGAATTGGATTTTGTTAATCTGAACTGTGTTTTATTGAATAAGACTATTTTAGTTACTGCTCTCTTGCTTTAGGGTGAAAGGGTGATTATGTTTTACTTGTGTCTATGAGGGCTTGTTACAGAAATATCTCACAGAAATTAATCTTTGAATTCACACCAACAACTGACTGACTTTTGAAGTCAATCTAATTGAAGATGGCCACCAAAGCTGCTCAACATTTGCAAACACACAAATGTCTCTAACTCAGTCAGTTTTTACAGATGTTGAAGTAAAATTAGGTGTGGTAGTACCTGATCCTCAACAAATACTCTGACCATGAAAGATGGCGGGTGATTCCTTAGGGAAAACATAATTCTTTCTTTTTTTTTTTTCTGAGAACACTTACCTTGTTAAATGGCACTTTATAAAGTAATTGGCTATCAGCTTTAAATCCCATTTTAAATCCCACATTTTTATTGGTCTGATTTATTTACACGTCTGTCAATCAAATACAGCTCCACAAGCTTATCTGAAGGTTGKTTTATAAGTTGATACAGTTTCAGAAAATTCCACCAAATTTCAAAACCAATTTGAATAGGCTCAAGGCCAAACAGTTCAAAACACAAATTTATTTCATTTATGAAAATAAAAGAAAAAATGGAGAACAAGGAGGTGTTTCAGTGCAGTGAACGACGTCGACATAAACTTATACTGATGTGGAGTTTTTACATGAAACTAAAGTTCATCTACCAGATGAGCCAGAACGTTCTACTTTCTTATGAATTTGTTCCGTCAAACATCTTAATGTGACAGATAATATGAAAAAAAAAAACAGCTTGCCTTAAAATAACTTGTCTTTAACACGTTCCACATATTGGAAGTTTCCATTTTATTCCATGTTTGCAAAGATGAGTCGTGTCCCATCTGCAATGAAAAAGCGCAAACATGGTGAAACACAAAAAGACTAAAAGATGAAGCAATAAAATTGTGAGAACAAATATACAATTTGTCTCAATCTGCAGAAATAAATCAGGACTTGTATTTTGTGTTATTAAATATTTTCTGTAATGTGTGACGAGAATGTTTTTGATGCTTTTGAGAACATGTAAGAGCGATACGAGAGGGATGTTAACTGAGTGTAAAGTTGTATTTATAAACCTGACAGTGAAGAGATTGTGTCTTTTTAAAAGCTTTTATGAAGTTTTATTGTTATTTCTAACAAAAGACACAAAACTGATGTATTTTTATTCAAATTTAACATCACAAAGTTGCTTTATGATGTTCTGTGTTGCACAGATGGAGTAAAATGTAAAACCACATATAGAATATTTTTTAAAGTGCCATTAAAATGCAATTCTAAGGTTTTTGTACATTTATTATCACAGGCTGACCTGTGTTTGCTACATACACTGTTTTAAAGCAATTTTTCAAGTGTATTTCATTTTCAGCTTAGTCTAATTCTTCTTGTTGCAATCTTCTTTCAGCTGTTAATATAGATAATATTCATGGAAATTTGTTAACTCTAAAACTCCGAATCATTAAATTCAGTTTTGACAGTGCTGTAAATGTTTTTTTCTGTACTCTAATTCTTGTTTAACACAGTACTCATGTATCAGGTTTGCAGATTACTGTTAATTTTCATTATTTCATTTAACTTTTACATGATTTATTGTTGTAGTTAGAGACAATGGGTTTGTCTTTGGATGATTGTATTTTGTCATTTTCTGAAATCAGGGATCAATCGATGCATGCTTTGGTTTGTCCTTTTTGATAAAATCTGTGACAGAAATGTTGTGAGTTTGTGTTAAAACTGAAACACTTCCTTTTCATATGATTCACTGATCCTTGAGGCCTCAGTTTAACTTGTTTTGACCCAAGGCCAGCAGGAGGGTTAAACACATCAGATTCTCTACTGAACTGTTGGGGTTCCTGACGTAAAYCATTAAAAACTGAGCCTTCAAACACTTTGTATAAATTACAGCTGCTGTGTGTTGTTTTTATTTCTCTGTTAGAATTAGCATATTGCTCACACACTTCAGGAAATAATTGAATAAACACCTCCAAATGAATCACATTGCAAATATCTCACGTATTTTTCTTAGATAAAAAGTTTATTATTTGTTCAGCAAAATCCCAACAAAAAAAATCAGAAGTGATTTGTGAGGACAACACAAACCTTGCTTTCCATTTTGTAGTCAGACTGAGACTTCAAGTTAAAACAACAGAAATGCTCTTCTTTTTGTCATTTTTTCTTTTCTTTTTTTTAAACAATGTTGCTTCTGGGTCATCAATTGGGAGTTATTTCATCTACATGGACCTGGTTCTGAAGGCCTCTAAAATCTTTTATTTATTTTTTATTTTTTGTCAATGTTGGCAGAAGATCAAGAGCTCTTAATTTGTTAATGGACACAAAACAATAGCTGGAAAACATTTCCATTACAAAATCCATTTAAATGCTGTTCTGAGAATCCTAACCACATTTACAAACCATTACTGAAACTTCTATTTTTTTAACTGCTGCTTTTATTGAACTACCCTTTTTTTTAAATTAAATAGACTTTTAGATAAAACACTTTTCTTTCATTTCTAAGTTCATGTCTTCATTTTAAACATTGTCTGGTCCATTTTTGAGATGACCTAATGTTTTATTTACAGCTGTAAACAAATATTTTTCCATCCCACTAGTTATTTATTAGTATTTTTGGTGAGAATCAACTTGATATTCTCCTTTCACGAATCAAACCTCTCAATAAAATAGTGAATCTAATTTTAGTCTCGCAGATCATGAGACAACAATGTGTTGCTACTTCCCTCTAGTGGTCATAAAGAGTAATTGCTTTAACAAAATTGCATCAAAATGTTCAGGTTGTGGGATAAATAAGATTATTATTACAGTTTATCAGTGAGACTATAAATCAGTAGTTTTTATATAACGTTTAAGACACATTTGACTACATTTATTTGTATCTACTACAGAAAAATGTACAAAGCTATTTGTAAACAAAGTTTTTTGTGGAATAAGAAACATTTTTATAGCTTCATCAGATTTAGAAGCTTCAGGTTATAGTTTCCACACACTGACATTATTGCTTTGTTAGTTACTGACCTCTAGATGTTTCTCTTTGAATTGTTTTGTTGGTTTTATTTACATTTACACATACGTATGCGTGCATGTGAMTGTAAAGAGGACATAAACAAAAGAATTGTTTTTTTTTTTCTTTTTTTACTGTTTGTCAGAAAATATTTCTTTTGCATAAAATGCCTGTTTAAAACATGGATCATTTCCTTTGCAGAACAATGTTTTTCAAACATATTTCATGATAAAAAAAAATTGATTAAACCAATTTTACATCAAACACAGTGCAGTTTACCCAGCTGCAGTTTACCTAAGCTACACTGGGCATTTCTTTTTATTATTGTAAATTTAACAAAATGATGAATAAGAATCTAAAAAGATCTATTTTTACTTTTTGTCACAGGTGACTGCTGGGTAAGACAGTCTGGAAATTGTTGAATACATTTTAAAATGGCTAGAAAAAGTACTTCATGCTCAGTTCCACTATACAAAATATTTGAATATTCAGAGGCAGCAGCACTTGAAAACATTTAGCAACAAGCCGTTTAAAAAAAACTCACCAACATACAACAATATATACTAACACACAAACACAATGTTGTCACTGCAATTTCTTTCTTTTCTTTTTTTTTTTAAACACAAAATAGTTAAGACAGCTAAGGTTTTCATTTTGAACCAGCCAATGTTTAAAAAAATACATATTTTTAAATTTATTGTCCAGACAAAGTCTGGACATTACATGTAAAGATGACAGTGTTGATTTTACAGTCACCAAAGTGCAATTTTGTCTTTTCTTTTCTCCAAACACATACACATTTTTTTTTTATAAAAGGAACAAACTGGGCTGGGTGAGAAGTAAAGATACATCTGGTTTAGGACAGGGGCATGATTTAATCACAATGCCACAGCTGAAAAAAAAAATCATAATATCTGTCATGACTTTAAAGCACAACTGCAGTTTTTATGTCCCTTTCCCACGTGCACCCCTGTCAAAAACAAAATGTAAAGCCATTTTCTGGTGTTTTTAACACCATTATAAGCCGCTGATTATTAGAAATAATGCTGTATTTGTTCACCCGATCAGTTATGATTTTAAGAGCTTTTAAGTGACAGTTGAGATCTTTTAAAGTGGGGTTCTATGGAAAGTCTGATATAAATTTACTGAAAACTTGAGTTGTAGAGGCAACAGATTCAGGGGGGATGCCTAAGAATATCTTACCTGTTGCAGATAGTTCTTAAAGATTCAGTTTTGAAAAACAGAATTTAATTCTTATCAGACTGACGAACTAAGACTAAGACCAAAGTGGTCCTGTTGTCTTAAATGAGCCACTATTTGCTCACGCAAATAAGCACAGACTTCTTCGTAAATAACAGTGCAATGTGAAATGAGCGACAATGCAAAGGTTTATAAAACAGTGTTCACATGAGGGAAATTGGCTTGTTTTCTGACCTCAGCAGTCCACTTTGGTCTTGGCATCACTTGGTTCATGGATCCAGTGAGAATTAACTGCAGACTAAAGTTTCTCAAAGAGATATCTACAACAGGTAAGATAGTAATTGTTTCCATAGAAGCCCACTTCGAAAGATCTGAACCCRTTTTAGCCGCATTCTTTTTAGAAGGTTAATGTTTCAGTCGTCAATCCCTAAAATCCATTAAAGCTCCGAAGCGTAAACATTCATCCATTAAGCAACTAGAATCAATATGTCTTTTAGACTATAGACTCAGGTCTGTGGGGAGGGGGGAGGGGGGGTGCAGGCCATCCCAGTAGACAGAAACCAACAGATCGGGGTGCATTAACAATTTTTACCACCCTCCCTAAAACCTAAAACATATTCACCAATTTAACATAAAGTCTTTAAGTTTGTCCCAAACTCCAAAGACAAAACGTCCCCAACCCAGAACCTGTCTGCTGCTGCGAGCAAACAGCACTGATCACTGCTCCACTCTGACCTGCTGCACAATCAGCCTAATACATCCCAGCGCTCGTGTATGCTTTGATTTCGACTGTTTCATGKTTTCTGCAGCTGCCAACCGACTGAAATGTAATCCTTACGCAGAGTTCATCTGTTATCACACACACAGATGTTTGTCACTTTTTTTTTTCATTTGATCAGCTACAATAACCAGGACTGGCTCTCCTGTAATACTGTTAGATGGGTTCAAATAGAGGAAAAAGAGAAGATTTCAGCATGAACGTGTATGGTGATTTTAGTGCACAGTCAATGCCAAATAATTCTCAGGAAAACAAAGTGCTCTGTTTGTAATGTAATGATTTCTTTCTTCTTTTTTTTTTGGAAGTCACTTTTGCTAACTATTTTTCAAATCTCTACAGATACAACCAAAAATGACAATCACTTGTTTAATTTTCCACAGTTTTAACTTTGCAGATTTGTTTTTTTCTTTTTTACTTTTAATTTGTGCTTTTTTTAGACTTCATTTGTCTGATGATATTAAGCATCTGTTTTATAAGACTAGTGGGAGTTCTCAGTTTACTTTTAAAGTTCCCATATCTGCCGACACACCAACCATTCACCACGAGCCAAGGCTGAGTTCTGGGCAAAAACAAACAAACAAACATGTAACTATTGTGTTTTTCTTTTTATACAAAACACCACTGAGCTAACAGGTTACACATTTTAATTAAAAAAGAAATTCATATTGCACATATTTTAAAAAATAATAATAATAAATTTCGCAGTTTCAAGTCTGAATCCCCAACGTGACGCACGCAGCTGCCCTGAAAAAGGCTTAATACCAGATTAGAGGTCAGAAAACGAGCAAGCGTGGTTTTGGAAATAAAGTGTGGAGGCACATGTCAACACAGGAGCCAAATAAATGAAAGGGAAGGGGATTCGTCGGTGTGGTTTTTGTTGTTGTTTTAAAGAAGTGAAACTAATTTTCTCCAATAAAAGCTTGGGGCAAGTGTTCACCAGTCTTCACGCAGTGATTCTGTAGTTCTGACACCTCCCGTGGAGGATTGTTCTCCTTGTTCAGCTGTGTATGTGGCAGAGAATTGCTGTCTCTGCTCACACACACACACACACACAACCACACACACACACACACACATACACACACACACACACACACACACACATGGTCCACTGGATTTGGGATGAAAAGGTTTGGATTTGAGGCTTTATTCCCGTCTTGTTTCTGCCTCTGCGCTCCTGTTATGACGGACACTCCTGACTCCGCCGCCGCCGTTTGCTGACCAGTTCACCGTTCAGGCTGCTCCTCCTCTTTGACTTTCCTCCCTGTGGAAGATAAAAGGGTTTGTTTGTTTTATTAAATTGTCTTGTATTTAGTTTCACTGCTATTTATTCAAAAAAATAACTTTAATGTATAATCTGTTTGCTTCATTGCTAGTTTTCTTTTTTTAATGAGATAGAGTAGTTACAAACTCTGACCACTAGGTGTCAACATAACATTGAAAAATGTAACAAACTTTTTAGGAAAAATAGCAGTGTGTATTTAGTACATGTAGTGGTCTAAAATAATGAATACATAAAATTAAAAAATATGACATTTTGATATTTTAACACCAAGCAGTAGACATAACTGACTGCATAAGTAACATACTATAAATTGTATTGTTTTTATTATTATTAATAGTAGGAATTGTAGAAATACAATAAATAAATAGAAGTGTGGCTAAGTTGACAATTGTGAGAAAGTTGTAGGAAATTCAAGTAAAAGGATTTTTACTTAAAAATTGTTTAGAAACCATAAAAGAAAAKATGATCATTGATTTATTTTTATATGTACTCCATTATACCATAAAAATGTGTGTTTTTCATGCAGCTCCAACCTTGGAGTCTCGCTCTGCGAACTTCTTGAACATGTCTGCATAGATCTTCTTCTCCTGCTCCTGGTGTTCCTTCATCTTCCGCTGGCAGCTGGCGATCTGAACCCGAGCCGCTCGGTTGGACGGGTTGACTTCCAGCACTTTCTGAAAGTCTGCCATGGCCAGGCTGTACTCGTTGCGGAGGAGCCGGGCCCCCCCGCGCCGATACAGAGCCTTCTCATTGCTGTCGTCCTGTTCAATCACCTTGTAGAAACACACAGAAGGACATAATGTTTGAGTMAAACACCCAGCAGCTAAAAGCAGAGGAGGAGGGATGAACTGCGGCTCACTTTGTTACAGTTGTCAACAACTTGTGAGAACTCCTTTAGCCGAAGGAAACACAGCGCTAAGTTAAGGTGGGCTGTCATAACGTAGTCCTGTATCAGCTTATACTGCTCCATCCCAGAACCGCACTCCAGCTCCAGCCAGGAAATGATGCGCTGATACTGGATGACCGCCTGCTGGTACCGTCCGGCCTAAACACAGAATATAATAATCTGTTAGAAACAGACAAATGCAAAATACAGTTTACTGTAAAACAAAATGAGATAGAAACTATACCTTAAAATACTCGTTCCCTTTACTTTTCACTCCGGCGGCCATTTCCAGCTTTTCCTTCAAGTCCATTTCCCAGGATTCTTTAGCCTTGGGTGAAAACATTTAACACAGAGAGTGAGCCGTWTGGCATATAGGTTTCTCAATCTAAAACGATGTGGGGCTTAATTACCTAACCTAATAATGAAGAAAAATTACCAATTTGATTCATTGTTACCATATAAAGTAAAAACTCACCCTTTTAAAATCTTTGAGTGTAACTTCATATACAACGTCTTTATCTGGTCCAACTTTGTAATCTAGATTACCTTCGCTCCCAAAACCGTACCTGAAAAGAAGCAAAATATACAAACTTGAGACTTYGAGGCTGAATTTACAGAAAGAACATGACATGGTGGCACAGGTTTTTGAAACCAAGGGTTTTAATATAAACCAGATCCAGAGTGTTTTTGTTTAGTTTCGACATTCTAAAAACTAAGGAGAGGATTGCTCATAGGTAGAAACCCTAACGTAAACCAGATGGACGAGAATTACAAAGATGGGGCTTCAGCCGAAAGATGTAAGAATGGATTTGACTCACGCTCCGATGAATTTATATTTGTGTGTGCGTGCGTGCGTGTGTGCGTGTGTGTGTGTCTTTCTGTCTGTTAGCAATACATCTGATGAGCCACAGCACAGATTTTAATCAGTGACTGTGCATCTACAGCTGATTAACGTTTGGAATCAGGTTGCCACAGCTAATCAAGCTTARAAAATACAAAAGCAGGAACAACTCAGTCATTAAAGGAAGTGTTTATGTGCAAACGTCCATGCAGCAGATCATATAAGATTTTTGCTCTTATGGTTCTGCTTTGTTCTCACTCGTAAAAAAAAAAAAAACCACTGTCTCGTCGCAAAATAACAGTTGACCTTTTCTTTTGTGGCACCAATATATTTTAGATGGATCTTTCACATGTTTTTGTTTTGTTTTGTTTTTTCGGGTGGAATAAGTTCATTCTAATATTATAAATATATAAATATTATCTTATGTTCTAAATCCTTTTTTTATTATTT